ACCTGAGGAAAAAGGAGAGAAACACTGCAACTTTTTCAATGAAGAGTGATTAACCCATTAACACCCCTTGGGACCATATGGTCCTCTTTCAAAAGGAGGTCCATTGGGATATAAGACTCGTAACAGAAGGTGCGCTATTGATGTTTGAAACACGTTCAATACGTGCCTATAGCCCTCATCTGATACCACCAAAACTCATCACATCGGAGGCATCGGTCTGCTGTGGAAAACGCGTGAGTGTGGTTAGGTGGAGTTTCAAAAAAGCATTCAGGCGTTAGAGGGTTAAACGAACGGTGTTTGGTAATATTATAACTTATTCCAACTCCTCGCATATTTGTGGGAAGCAAATTTATGGACGGAGTAGAAAAAATACCAACCGGGAGTCTTTGGGGAATTCGCTAATGGTACAACCATCAACAGGCGCAGTTAAACAAAACAATTATGGAGTAAAAAAAGCAAAATCAAGTCGCTAACGCCCACATCTTCATATCGCTGACTCGTACATGAACAGGCAACTTTTAGCTCAAAAGGCTCGAATATTACTTATAGTAATTCAGCACCAAAAACAAGACAGAACACTGAACAAAGTCTATCAAGGAAGCCAAATCGCCAGTCATTGCCATTTTTTAAGATAAACAACAACTCAATTTCTATCAACACCTCAGGCCGAACAATATTACAAAAGTTAAGCCATGAAAACAAACATTCTCAACTATTACTGGATACGTTATAACTTGTAATATTTCAACGAGAAAAACTCACCCCTCCTCTCATACACAATCCTTTGTTTCAGCTCCCTAGAAGGTGCCAAATCCAGAGCAGTTTTGCCATGGATGTTTGGTTGGTAGGGATCAGCACCGTGTGCGAGTAGGAGAGAGCAAACTTCTGATCTCGACTTGCTTGCAGCCTCATGCAGAGGCGTATAGTGCCAGAGATCGGCGGCATGGACCTGTTGTTGGGCTTCCGAAGAGCTTTCTACTGGGCTAGTAGCATTTGCAGCGGCGATAAGCATTTCACAGACTTCCAAATGACCGTAGGAACAGGCGTTATGAAGGGGAACTAGACCACCCTTATCCTTAGCTCGAACGTCTGCACCAGCAGTTAGCAAAATTTGCACTATTCGGGTTCTATCGAAAAACGAAAAAATGAGCTTACACTCTGCAAATGAATTAACAAGGACAACAAATCTGGGTATTAGGAATGATAAATGAACCTTCAAGTAGTATTTTTTACATATCAAAGACTATCAAATAACAAAAAATTATAACTTGAATAATTTTTTGGTGTTCGGAAAGGAGAGGGCATGAGATTCATAAGGTTAAAACGATTAGCCGTTATTATTATATTATTATTATTGTATCAGAGGTTTTCAAACGTTCTAGAAGGAATCACAGTTGTAATACGTGAAAAGTGGGGAAGTTAGAGTTGGTTTCAATCATGATGTACCGATTGCTTCGAAAACTCCTCCCAATCATTTTAGGCATGACAGCCCATCAGGAAGAAAGATGCTTGGTGTTCTTCACTAATTTGTATAGTAATTAAATCGGGGTGTGCGATAGACTTACCTCCACGTGGTGCACCCTGGGCAATGTATACTCATACGGCAAAAAAGTCTATTAACCGGCAGTTGACTTCTCACTTCAAACTACCATCACCCTACTGTATGTCATATTCGACTACTTTCACAGTACTCACCTCACCTTTTTTCTACCTTCGTCTTTGAAACACACTTCTGTTCCCTCCCCCTCTCGAATTTTTTTCACTTTGATGTACCTTCCCCTCTGTGAAGCCTGAAGTCAACTAAAGGGCTAATGATAACCATCAAAACGCCTGCCATTTGACATAAATAAATATTAATTAAAACAAGTAACTTGTAACAAATACTTGTTAACGAAAACTACCTTTACACACACACATACACATGGGACGCACACACTCGGTCCGATGAAAGGCATTCGAAGTACGTCGACACAATGGAGTGCACCCCACATAGCGAAAATGAATAATCACAAACACATGAACCCACCCAAAAAAATAAAGAGCGAATGCGATTATGCAAAGAGAGAAATGCAGGGAAAGTGAATCACGTCAGGGAAAAGGTCATCGTGAAGGAAGAGGGCGCGCATAAGCGCAGCAAATAAATGCAAGCCTTCCGGCAAATAATTAGAACACATATAAAAGAATACTCCCCAGCCGCCACAAATTATGGAAGAAAAATTCGTAATCTTGGCCTCACTTATGGACAGAAGTTCCATTTTATTATTAAACTAGGAGAGTAGTAAAGGAAGTTCAGCGTCTTTTGAAGGAGAAAAAAAATTGCAAGAAAAGGATCAAAACCAGAACTAAGCTCTTTACATTTCATTTATGCGTAGATCCGCAGTCAGTGAACCTTTGATGCACTCATCGACACACATCGAGAAAAGTATACGGCTAATAGTCCAAGTTAAATTTAGAGAAAAACAAGAACAAGGGTGAACAAATCCCAACTTCCCAACTGTAGCAAAAAAGTTAGGTGGGAAACGACTGATCTCAAAAAATTAAGACTTACTCCTGAATACTAAGTAGCTTGGAAGGAAGAAAAGAGATGGGTCCAGAATGTGGACAGAGAGGGGGGGGGGGTGGATAAGATAATGGAACTAACTTGCAGAAAAACTAAGAGAGCTTAATTGAACTGGTTGTGTGTGTTCTCATTGGATGGGTTCCAGTACTCAAGATGAAAACACTCTGTTTCAATAAAGTTGACTTCCAGTAGATAAATGGAACCAAGACAACTACTGACCATCCGTCGCAAATCCAAGTACAACCGGGATACAAAGAGGACATACCACTAGCGATTCCTAACTCGAAATTACCGGTTATTAAAAACCAAGATGAGGAGGGGTGCTTGGTACATAAGGGGAAAGCTAAGGAGAGCAAAAATAGTGCCCATGTGAATTGGCAGAAAAGTCAAACAATTCACCCAACTGTTTTACCGATAGCAAAATGTTTAAATCCTGAAATTAAAAGCATTTAATTTCAATTTGACAGAACTTTTAATCCGACTAGAGCTCACTAAAAATGCTTGCTATTCTCTGCAAAAGAAATATTTCATTTAACTTATAAATTACTCAGATACCTTAAAAAGAGATAATGTCACAATAGTTGCCTTGTAAATCCTAATATGATTTTTTCCAGATTCGATTTCTGCAAGTCGGTAGCACACGATTGTGAAGGTATCCACTCGTTCCAGGTAATATAAGATGCATTAATAGAACAGCCACCAATTTGCTCAGTAATGACTTTTATGAATTTTCCCAATACACAAGTTCCCACCCCACTGCCCGACTGCATATTCTAACTGAAAAATTTTCCCATTCATTGACAAAATCAAGCATGCTTCCAGTTAGAACAGCAACATGTGTGAAAAACAAGAACAGAACAGACAATAAGAGAGGAAGTTAATAAAACACTAAAGATAGTACCACCAATATGAGTGATAATTTATTAATGGAATACTAAATTGACTCGGCTTTAGACTAGGAGCAAATTTTATAAAAATGGTCAGGGAAATTCAGCAGGATATTTTCAAATAATGCAGTAGCTTTTTAACCCATCCAATCCCAAGGAGAGAAACCACCTCAACTGAAGCCAAACAAGAATTACGTGAAGAAGCAACAACAAAGTAAAATTTAAAAAAATTGTGATATGATAAGCCTGGTCTTAAACCGACAACCTGATGATTCCACAGATCAGGTAAAGTAGGGTCCTCTAATTGCCTGACCCACTTCTGTTTCTTCATTTTACCCGAATAATACCACCTAACTATTCATAATGCTCATAGTAATGACAATATATACAAAGTTATACAAAAAAAATATTTCAGCATACCGGTTGTATCCAGCTGCTAAATGAAGAGGCGTTGATTTGCGCCCATCATCTGCATGACAGTTTACATTTTGAGGGGTGAGAAGGGAGACCAATTTATCCTCTTTGCCGGTTCGTGCTGCCTCAAGTAACTCTTTTTTACGGTAATCACCAACAAGTACTTGAGCTGTTGGACCCTTAGCAAAATCCAGTGGCGTCTTGCCATCCAGATTGCGGAGATTAGGGTCGGCTTTGGCCTGAAATTAGTAACCATAGTTTAGAAATACAGCATTGAAGATAGAACTGGCGACACAATTCACTTTTTTAAACTTGTAAAATCCTTGGTATATGCTTTTTATTGCTTAAAAACTAGTAAGGCGGTATATTCAGTTCATTCGTCATTTTAACAGGCCAGAACACTTAAAGAAGAAATCGAAACTTTTCAAGAACGTATATTATACTGAAGACCAAGTGACCCGCTGTCCAACTTGAATAGTGACTACTTTCACCAATCAATAATCACTTTACTTTGATCTAATAAATTAGATTTGGAAAGTTTGTAGAGGTAGAATTGGTTTAATGCAATTATCACGTACATAAAATTATGGGAAACCGAAAGACAACCCTCAACATGAAAACATAAGATTAAATTACCTCGGCTGATACCTATGTGGAATCTCATATGAAGAAAAGTGGAATCTAAAGCATAAGTACAGAACAAACTGCATACTAGTCAATAACTTTAGATTCTATCGGAGAAAGGAACAGCGAGAAAATATAAAACGAGGTTTAAATAAGAGAAAGATTGTGGAATCTACGAAGTTTAAACTCAACTCAAATGATGGGTACAAACCCATTATTAGCTGCAACAATTTGAGACAATAAAAATAAAGATAACAGACAATTTTTGTAATTAAACATAAGAAGTCAAGAAAATATAGGTTAGTCAAGATTAACAAATAAATATAAACTGAAAACAACCCAAAAAGTTTGAAGATTTCAGACCTCCAAAATCAAATTCATTTGTATTGAAACATTAAATGCTATGTACATTAATATCTAACTTTCAAATTAGACACTGGTCATTTTAATCAAATTGACTTGTGCATGAACAAAATATAATCAGTAAGGAAAATTTTCAATCTGAATTGAGGATAATTCAAAAAGTGATTATGAATAAAATCGGGGACTATTTACCCTTTATCAGACAAAACTAATTAAAAAAATGGAGTACCAAACACAATTATAAAAACAGTAATCACAAAGAAAAGGATATATAAAAAAGAAGAATGAAAGAAAAACCTTACCTGTAAAAGAAGAATGCAGACGTCAACTTTTCCTTTAATAGCAGCTTCATGTAGAGGTGTATAATGCCAATTATCCTGAGCATTAGGATCAGAATTAGCTGCCAAAAGAAGTTGAACAACTTCAGCGTGACCAAAAGAGCATGCGTTGTGCAAAGGAATCAAACCTAAAGTAATGAGCATTTTAGGATCTATTAACAAGCATCATGTTATTAATTAAAAAAAAAACTTGAAAAGTAGGCAAATACCTCCGTCATCTTTTGCGCAAACATCAGCCCCTCTGATAACTAATAATTTAACTACATCGAGTCTACCGTAACCAGCAGCAAAGTGCAGGGGAGTAGATTTTCTTCCAGTGGTGTCTTTTAAATTAACAGGTACGCCCTTGTCGAGGAGAGCAATAACTCGTGAAATAACACCAAGCCGGCAGGCGTCAAAAATTTCCTGATTTTCAGATGTTAATTGATTTGAGAGAATAGAAGAGGAGGAAGGTAAGACATTTGCATCACCTATGGAAACGCAACACCGTGAGCCAAGATCTTTGGACTCTTGTGACATTCTAACACCAGAAAAGGATTAGCGGACAATTACACAGTCCAACATTGCTTTAAAGGAACCGCCTTCATCTTGATTATTTAGGACAATATAGATATTAATATGACAAAATAAAACATATAAAATATTTAAAAGGCGTAAATTATTGATTTACTTCAAATTTAAAAAATCGTATATTATTTTGTCCCATGAAGTCGTACTTTGACCACTGATCATTCTTCAAATGCCTATTATAACGGAGTCATATTATGGAAAAAGTTTCTGACTTTTTTCTTATTCAATATTTTTCAGCCGGTTAATTCGCTTTATTATGTTAAGGAAAACTTCACTTAATTTATTTCAATATGGGTAAATGTTCTTTTATTGACGCTCAAATCTGCATGTTAAATAAATGCTTCCCTGAAGGTAATGAAAAGCTTGAAACCGTTTTCGTACCATAGTAGTATTTCTCTTCTAATAACGTTTAATGTGGACTTGAGTCGCTAATAAGACGATGCTAAGGTTAAATTGATATTATTTTTCTTCCCAATAAACAGATTCGTTCATTTGGCAGAACACATATGTGAATTTCGTCCGAGGAAGAAAGAGCAGCCCCATCCCTGAATAGAATTTTTTTATTTTAGGTTCTTGCTTTGCCGCTTTAATTTATATTTGCTATAGTTGCCACCAACTGCAATAAATTTCCTCGATTTGATTTGTAATATAATGATCCCAGTTACAACTGTTTGGGCATTTTCAGACATATATTTATATAAAATGGTAGACATTTTAATAATTATCATTATACTAGAGCTGATTTCGGGCTTCACAGAGGGAAGGAACATCAAAGTGAGAAAAAATCGAGAGGGGGAGCAGAACAGAGATTCAAAGATGTAAAAGAGACTGACAGACACAGAGGCAGAAAAAAGGGAGATGGGTACTGTGAATTGGTTGCATATGGCATACTGTGGGACCATTGTAGTTTGAGATCAGAATTCAACTGTCAATTTATAGACTTCTTTGTCGAATGAGTATAATTTACCCAGGGTGGTAAGTCTATCGCACACCCCGATTTTCAGATATATGTTGGGTTTATATGTTATTTACTCCCATTCTAAATGTATTTTATGTATTGATGTAATTTTATATCATTTTCTAGAATGAAACATTTTTCGCCATCAAGTTTTAAATTAAGTTGATATTTTTTACGAATACGGCAAAACTGAATGTATTCAATTTTTGAGTTGATTTGTACCGGAAATGCTTTTTTCCGTGGCAGAATAAGCAAGAAATCTCGCAAATACCAAAATTTTGGTCTGAATTCAAACTTTATAAATATGGTTGCAACTATTAGGTAG